CCCAAGAAGCATTTCACATATAATTAATAATCTGAATCTGTTGAGGGCCATGATCACCTATATATGAAAAGGATATAAAAGGATGTAAAAATTTTTGTAAAAAGAACCCTGTTAATATAAATATATTTATGTCATTAAAAATCCTCATTTCTAGCATTTATATTTTACACTATTCATTGCCATTAGAATATTTGTATATTTTTTTCATTTTTGTAACCTTAATTCTCATTTTAATGTACTTAAGAGAGGAAGAGCCTAGAGCCTAATTATTAACTGTAATCCCTAAAAGTTTTCCATCTTGGATGATAGGTTAACCAGCCCTATAAATTTCACTTAAAGCTGAAGCCACAGCAGTATCATTTGATGTGATGATTGCCCTCCAAAAGCAGTTTACAGGAAAATTTCTCTTTCAACCATTAATCAGGACACAATACTGCACCAAGCTTATCATATTCTATTAAAATATTCAACTTTTTCACAGAGATATTATTACTTCTAAAAATATTCAACTTGGGTTTGAGAAAGATTTTACGTTAATAAGAAATAAAAGAAGCTGATTAATCTGAATTCAAAATAATTCTCATAATCAATAACTGTCAAATAAAACCTACTGAAAAAGAGTGAGAGTAAGATACAAGATGGAATCAGTTCAAATTTTATTGATAAAACTGAAAATTAAAAACAGCATTCATATTAATTTGTTCTTTAAGCCAACAAAACTGTTTTGAGCAGACTTTAAAAAAAAAGATTCAGGAAACAATTTAACCTATTGCTTCACATATGTGCTTTATAAATCATTTTACTCTTTAGGCTGTTTCATGAGGATTTCAAGAATACTCACTATAGCAAAAGAGACGAGGATTACTTACAATGCAATACCATATAGAATGATTACAATACAATGAAATACTATATAGAATGATTGCAAGGTAATAAAATATCATATAAAATGATTATGATGCAATAAAACCTCGTAATACTAAACAATATAATTTTTTTGTTTATCTGTTGTCACATAGAAGCAAACATTTTAAGAGGTAGTATGTACTGGAAACATAGATGCAAATTGGGATGCTGTGTTTGCAACTTCTGTGGCAATATCATGTGAGCTGATGCACAGAAAATTATGTGAATCTGATTTTTCATGAATAAATGTGATTTTTTTTCATATTATAAAAGAAATTAATTTTTACTGAATTCTTTTTCCATATTGTTTTAAAATTAGTAAAAAAAAAATCTGTGTAATTTATATTGAATAGCTTTTAAAGTAACTGTGGGTCATATATATATATATATATATATATATATATATATATATATATATATATAAAAAAAACATACACAGATAATAAACTTTGATACTATATTTACCTCCCTATGAAGGTGTTACAATATGACATATGGTTGGTTTCAATTGGAAGGTCCACAGATACATCTGACCCAAGAACAATAACTATAACTATTATCATTTAGGTTTCATATTTCTTCATCTTTGTACAATGGGGGTGGGGGTTGGAATACCTGAGACTTTGAATTATTCCAAGGTAGAAATATGGCACTGATGTTCTATGAGAACTCTGAAGAAAAGAATGGATAAAGCACTGAGACCAGCCAGAAAGTTTGGGAGCATGCATTCTGATACTAGCTAGAAATGCTAAAAGTATACTAATACATATACAAAAAAAAATGTGGTAATTAAAGAACTACAGTAAATATATATTTGCTTTCATTTGTAAAAAAAATTTATCAAAATGTATCTGTGAAAATTTTTCACAGGAAATAACAAATAATAGAATACACAGCCCACATTCTTTTTTTTTAGAAACATTTAGAATTACGTTATTAATCAGTGAAAAGACATCATCCTCTAGCTTATCAACATTTTAAATGTAATGCAGTTACTAACAAATAATTACTAATTTTTTTAATTAGTACAATATTTTACTTTTGCAGCCTCCAGCTGTACAGATTTTAATTTATTCAATTAATTCATTTACAAGACCTTTGATATTTCAGTTGATGTTTGAAAAGGGTTTGTTATAACTATTTTTATGACTTCTATCATGATCTACCCTCTAAACCTTATTTTAACCATACCCCACCTTGTGTGTGTTTTTGCATTACCTCAAAAACTTTGCCTTGCTATGAATCTGGACTGCACTTCCCCTACTTGTAAACACTCAAACTGTTCTTTATGTCCTTCTTGCATTAAATTCATATTGCATCAACCAACCTCCAGCATCTTTTCTGTCTGCAAACAAACTCCTTCCTAGCACATATTTTCTGCATCTTTTATTTATTCATTAGTTACCATTGCCTTGCAAGTTATGGAATAAAAATACCTCTATAATTAATAATGAAGCATCAGTTGTGTCTATCGTCTTCTGAGCTGTGAAAATAGTCTAATATTCTAACGTGTATTTTAGTCATTTTTTTTTCAACAGGGAAAGTGTTTTTTTTTTTTTGTTTTTTTTACTGCTTTTTGCCTTGCTTCCTGACAATTAATGAATATTATTCCACAAAAAGGCTAATACCAGGAGTATCAGCTTCAAATATTTATCAAGAACACTGAAGACATTTTCAGGGGCAAAGAATCCAGTTTTACAATTACTCTCAATTTAGAATTTAATTAAAAATAATTTTAAAAGTTTTAATGAGAACCATATATTTCAGCACCAGACATTTTGGCATCAGATATTTAAGAAAAGAAAACTTTTATGCCTCCAAACATTTCTGAAGTTAGACATTGTGGCAAAAACACAATTTTGTTTTCCTTTTAACCCTATTACAAACACAATCCGTATTATGCTACAGGCCCATAGCAGCAGTTGTATTTTTTAACAAAATACAAGGAAGAACGAGATAAACTATTAAAGCAAGGAGGTACTGGAAATTTTAATGTTCTTCCTATTAACCATGTAGGAGCCTTTGATAATTTAAGGTTAAATTGTAAATTTTTTGCTCCCCCCCCCAAATCATTTGTCTCTGCTACAGCTCTGTACTAGTTGTTCATACTGCAAAATCCTGAGTGAAGGCCAATAGACGAGTCTGAACATTAAAGAATGCTCAAGGAAACATGAAGCTGTTTTTATCTGGTCAATCTATCCGTTAAAATAACTTTCAAAGATGTTTTTCTTGTTTTAAGATCCCTACATAAATAGTAAACAAAATAGGATAAATACTTCCACTATATATACTGTGGTCACAATAAGGCATAATATGCCCATTTCTCTTTTGGTCTGATAAAAACATGATTATTTTTTGTCTTGGTTTATCCAGCTGTGATTGGAAGATGACTGCAAATAACATGAAAGTTTATTCTAGCTTGTGTCATCATTTTTCTTATTTACTTTACACCCTGCTTAGTTAATTCTATCTGTATCCTGAAGGAAAATAATTAGAGAAAAACGCTTTTAGGCTTTATTTAAACCAGAGAGTCACCAAAGTTTTATGTAATATGGCAAAACATTGTTTTATTTTCTTCCATTTCTCAAAATTTGCCCAGTTTGAAATAATGCCACAGAATATTCTAGATTTCAATACTAGTATCCACCATTAATATCTGAAACAAGTTACCACCTGATTGTCTGGATAATGATATAATAGTAACAATAGTAATATAATGGAGTCATAGACAATCTTTAGCTGTGTATATAAAATAAGATTTGGAGTAAAGGTTCATGAAAAATGAAAATACTTTTGATATCCCCTCAGTTATTAAATTCAGAATGTTTGTAAATGTCTTTCTTTAAAACCAGAAAGATTTATTTCATAAAGCAAAAACATTATGAAAAGTCATTTCCTGAAACTATTTTATGTTTACATATGAAATTAAAAAGACATTTTTCATTGTTGTGGTAAGTTCACTTTCTCTAATAGAGAATTATCAATTATTTTATTGGGTTTTTTTTCCAAGATTTCTTAAATAATGAATTTGAAACAAAAATGTGTGTCTTGGTATTGCTTAATTTGTGGAATAATTGTCTGATTAATTGTCCTCTTACTTTCTTACTCAGATATCTGCAGATGAATGAGTTTTATTTATGAAAAGGTTTTAAAAGGTCAGTGTCTGAATGTTACCATATTATGAAATAGACATTCTAAGAATTTTTTCATTGTTACCAAGAATTTTTTCAATATCATAGAAAACAAACATCAGCTTTCCACTCAGAAGAGATTGTAAATAATAAAAAAAATCAGTTTTTTATCAAATTTCAAGTTTAGCAAATTTCTATCAAAGATTATAACTTAGTTTATTTGGTGAAAAGATTTCTGTTTATCTTTGACATCCTTAAGATCCAATCTCTTAATTCTTTTGGTATCTTAAACAACTTCTAGTCTATTTCTTTGTCCTTTAAGTCTTTCTTATCTGTTCTTAATCTCTTGTACTTTAATGAGTAAGAACACCTCTTTGAGGAAATGTATTTTTCATTATTCCTCATGTATTTTTGACTTGTATTAATGCTACTACATGACATCTCAAGTTCTCATGGTGCAGTATGCATGTCCAAGTCTTGCTGAAACTGTTTCAAATTCTTATAAATAATTTGAAGGCTGAAGACTAGATCAGCTGGATTTTTTTATATGAAAAACAATAAAAAGATGAAAATATTAAGTAACAAAATTTGTATTTACACTTACTTATCATAAAAAAATAACTCAGAAGATACATTTACTAATATTCACAGTAAATGCATATATGCAAGTAGCCTTGGATTTTTCAGGTAATAGCTGACACTGCTCAAAAAGTATTTTCTCTTTGATTTCATGTCAATTCAGTGAAAAATCTTGAAAACAGTCAATATAAATAATCAAGTCATATTCTCTATTTTCTTAATGAGGTTAATGATGATTGCATAAAAAAAGAAGAAAAAAAACAGATTTTTGAAATTTTCTTAAAATGTCTATTTCATACAATAGTATCAATTGAATAGTAACAAGAAGTAATAACCAATCAAAACTAATTGAATCATAATCAATACCTGATCTTCCGTTCACAGAGTGCGATAAACACAAGTTCGGTAGTGGATGCAATCAGACATGTAGTGCCAATTGTCTCAACCAGACGTGTAACCACATAACAGGCCGATGCCGAAATGGATGTGTTCCAGGCTATGAAGGTCGCCGCTGTAACTCAAGTGAGTTTGGATTACTTCTCTTGGAGAAGAACAAACCCAGAGCCTGTTTGTCATTTGTCTCTCCTTCTTAACCATTCATCTGTCCATCAAGCCATCCAGTTTTGTATTTGTGTATGCGTTTGATCTTTTTTTTTTATTTGTCCATCCATCCATTGATGATCACGTCAGCTGATAGTACTTGTGTTGCGATAGTCTTATCTCTTAAAAAAATTGTTTATTTTCATTTAATCTTTACTTTCTTTATATTTTCTTATATTTTTAAGTCTCTGTCTTTATCTGTTTCCCATTTTTATCTGAAAAGATTTTCTTTGCTTTTAACCATTCTATCATTTTCCTCTTCTAATTCTCTTGTGTATCTATGTCAAGTAAAAATACTGAGTGAGATTTGAAATCTCTTCAAATTCTCTGGAAATCAACAAAAATAATCCCTTGTAAAAATATATACAAAAAAGAAACAATTTTTTTTTAATGTCATGCTCTTTTAGGATATAGAGAATCATGGCTCTCCACTTCTTAACTTTTACTCTTTGTATTACCATGACATCTTGGGTAAAATAGTGGAGTTGTTTCTGGTTGCCTTCTCCACAGTTGGGAATTCAGAATTTTTTTTTTCTTCTAGACTGAATGCCACCCAGTGCTAGAGAGTTTAGTGTACTTTGTTACTTAATCCATGGCTGATAGAGAGAAGAAATAGATTCATGCCTTTTTCGAGAGCATATTGCAAAGTGAATACCACAAACTAAAGTGGAATTTGCATTCTGCTTGCCAATTCCACTTGCTGTCCTGATAACCACTACACTACACACACATCTGAATAAACAAGACAAAAAAAAATTTCTATACATAAAAAGATGAAAGTAATCAGTCATTTTCCATTCAACATTATCTTGTTTAGCTTAAAATTTTTCTTCAAATTTCTCCTATACTTATCTCCCTTATCTATTGTTTGACTTTGTTTAATGAACCTAAAAATAATATTAGCCATTTCCCTACAAAGAAACATTTAGCATTCATTGGCTGAGCAGTCAGTTTTGTTTTTGGTTGAAATTTATAAAATTTTTCTCTTAAAACAATTTTTCAGGAAAATTTTTCAAGTTCAGCAGCTGTTATCCTTCTTTCCATAATTGATGGTGGTTTCCTTCCTAAATTTTTGTTTGGAGCCAAGTGGAATGTCAGCATCTTGATTATATTGTTATTTTCTCTTCAAGACACTTGTGTTATCCATTTTAGTTGTTGCTGCTGTCGGTACTGCTGATGTTGTTTCTATTATTTGATACAGTGTGTGTGTATATATATATATATATATATATATATATATATATATATAGAAAGATTGGTATTAGTAATTAATCACAGTTGCAACAAATAAATTCAAAACTGTAATTTATTATTTAAAAGTATGTAGAAGTTGATTTTTGTGAATGTACTTTTTCATAAGAAACAGTCACATTATTTGAAATGTTTATAGAAATGGTCCTGTGTCAGATATAGAGAAAGTTTATACATTTTAGTCTTGATAGTCTTTATAATGTCTTTATAGGTTACAGGAGAAAGTACTAATGTATTTACATAGATAAGCTGGAATGAAGTTTCACTTGTTGGTAATTCTTTTGATTTTTAGTTATTTGCTTATTTCTTTTGGGAAAGGGAGTTGGTGTTGACAAGCAGTCATTATTATTAGTTGACTGACTATGACCTGTGGCAAAGTATCATATTTATTTGTGTCTAGGAATTAAAACCTTGAACGTTTTTGAATTTAATGAAACCAAGTGTGGATAGTTGAAATTTTTCTTTATATACCATTTCATCTGTTTTCTACTACATCTGTAAATATTTAACTGTATTTTAGATTTTATTTTTGGAGGCTTTTTCTTTGAGTCTTCTATCTGGATGTTGATCTTCATTTTTAATATCACTTGACATTCTTCTGAAATTTTTACATACAAGCTATTTTATTGACATTTGAATATGGCAACAACCTTCAAAAGGTTTACGCAATATTCCCAAAGTGAAAGATCTTTCAATGATCACAATTTGGATATATTAAAAAGAATCTTCTTTTAAATGGAAAAATGAAAACTCTTGATTTAAGAATAAATAACTATATGCAGAGTTTGCTGTGCTTCTCTGTTTTTCTTCTATGTGCCATAGGCGATCATGGATCTCCACAATTTCCTATCCTTTGTAGCTCTTAGTAAAGTTTGTCTTTTTGCTATCACTCCTATATCTGAGTCCTGCCAACAATTTACACAGGTTATGCACTGTTTTCTTCTGTCTCTTTTGCCTGCAATATGTCCTGTTAGTGTCAAATTTCCTAAGCCTTCTTTCTGCATTATGTTTCCATGAAATGTCTCTTTTTGTGGCTAAGTATATGTATCTTTATGTTTCCATTTTCTTCCTTGTTGCTTACATGTTCAGTCAATGGTATTTTCAGTATCCTTCTGTTGAACCACATTTCTGTTGCTTCCAGTCTCTTCTTCATCTGTGAGCAGATTGTCCAGCATTTGCTGCCATATAGGAGAACTAATATTATATAACAGTTCAGTACTCTTTATTTGTTTCTTAATACTTTGCTTAACTTTTGGAAGGGATCTTTTGCTATACCACTTCACCTTCAGATTTCAGCGTTTTCTGTAATTTTTCTATTTTATTATTAGTTTGTTGTTAATCTCTTACTGTACCTAATATATAACTTAAACTTTATCATAAGTATGAATAAAAAATAAAAAAAAAATGATAATTTAAATTTCTCATTTCAGGCTTCTGACAGAAGTCTTGAAACATATCTTCCATGAATAAATGTAAACAACTAAGATATTTTTCTTTTGACAGTATCAGAAAGGTTGTATTTTTCTGGGATCTGAAGTAGTTTTCTTATTTCATTTCAAGCCAAAGAGAGGACTCCCTTTAAGTGTAAACGTGAAAGCTCTAAGTTTAATAAATAAATAAAAATTATATGCTTGAATAACATATTGTTATAATGTTTTTGGATTCATTATTGTTAATCTCTTTGTGTGCTTAAGTTATAAAATAAAATTTGTCATAGATATTTATGCAGAGATAAAAACAGAATATATATGGTAACAGTAATATTAGCTATTTCTTTAGAAGGAAACATTTTGCTTTTATTGACCAAGCCACCGGTACTACTTTTAGTTGAAATTTATAAATTATTTCTGTTAAAACAATTTTTAGAGAAAATAGTCCAGTAGCTGTTATCACTCTTTCCACTACTGATGGAGACTTCCTTCCTAACCTTTTGTTTGAAGTAGTGTGGAATGTCAAAATCTTATGACTAAAATTTAAATTACTGCCACATCCTTGGCTGATTAGAAATTTGCATAAAAGATAAATTGATAATGTTCGGCCAGTGAATGTCTGTGTTATATCATGTTGATCCAGCTTAATTTTTAATGTAATTTTTGGATTGTTTTTTTTTTTTTTTTAAATAAAAGAACAAGTAATCTCCTTTTCATATAAAAATAAAAAAATTAATATTCAAAACTCTAAGATGAATTTTTTATTTTGTACACACACACACACACACACACACACATATATATATATATATACACAATTCCTGTTTATTTTAAATGCCAAATATAATTTTTAAAATTAAAAAAAACTGTAATCTCAATATAATATATAACTGCAGCAACATTACAATAACCAGATATATTTTTAAATAATAGTCAGTTTATACTCAGCACCTGAGGATTGCATTGTGCATGAAACTTAGTTGTGCTATCAATATATATATATATATATATATATATATATATATATATATAATGCAATGTTTAGACATTTTATAATGGACTGTACTAGAAATGTGATTTCCTTTCTCTAAATAATGAACTCTTCTTATTTTTCTATGGGCTGTGTCCTGTCAGAAACTTGGTGATCATGGCTCACCACAATTTCCTATTCTTTATAAGTCTTATTAAATTTTGTCTTTTTGAATTCTTTTATTACATAGTAAAGATAAGATTTTATAGGATGTTAAAATTTATAAGTAAACTCGGTATTTATTCAGTGATGAATAGAATGTTATTCTACCTTAATATTTAGGATTTTTTTAACACATAACAAAAATATGATGCAACATTTTTTTTTTTTTTTTATATTTTATCAGTAAAATGCAAAAAGAAAACAAACTCGTATAAAAACTTTCAGTATTTTTTTCACCATATTCTTTAGCATGGTGTCTCTGATTAAACCTTACCTGCTGTTTTTCAGTGTTGTTTATCCTTAGGTACTCTCAGCTTTTGTTTCTCCCTCCCTTTTTTTATTCTTTTCCTTTCACCTGTAAAATTTTTTATATCTCTTTATCTTATATGTTTATATACATATATTTTAGTTAATCTTTCACATACCTAATGATTACTTAAGGCAAAGATTATTGTATTGTATCAGTTTCATAAAGTGTCCAGTTTTGAACAGTGTGATAAATAGAAATATGATTTTTTTCCAGTAAACACAGTTAAAAACATATCTGTGTTCTCTCTTCCTCATATATATATATATATATATATTCTTATTGTCAAGGTTGACTAAGAGCATAACAGATTTTTGCTGCTACTGTCTGAGTAGGTAAGATTGTTAGGTGAAGAGGTTTGGACAAGTACACAATCATTCTCTCCTCAGTCAACCATCATTGTATACAATGACATGTTTTGTCAAGGTATTTGACCAAAGAAACAAAGAGATTAATAAAGAATAAAGAAAAGACTGAGAGAAGAGATCATGTCCAGGTGATAGAAGTGATTGAGTGACAAAAGTGGAGGTAGTACAAAGCCTCTGTAGTAAAAGGTTGATAGCAAACACTGTATGAAAAGATTAGTCTGATAGAAAGATGAGATATACAGGTTTCCTGATAACACATGACACAGAATATTGAAACCATGATAATCTTGAAAAGAATTGGAGAAGGCTTTTGTCAAGCAATTAATTCACAGTAGATAATAATAATAATAATAATAATAATAATGATATATATT